TCACAAGTACAAAGCCATCAATTAAAAGCAAAGTTTGAGTGAAAGTTCTAGGTTTTTCGGAAAGTCCTATATAAGAGACTATTTTTTTTCCTTCCAATGAAAATTTTAGAACTTAGGGAATGTCCCTGTTACAATGATGTAACAGTAGCTGTAGCTAAAACGAACTAGAAAGCAGGATTCATTTCACTCTGGGGGCTACTGAAACATTTACAGAGGAAGAGAGCCACCTATTGGCCAAGACGGGACGAAGACATAGACCAAGTCCGGAGAGCAGGCTTCTTTCTGTTCTAGGCAAAAGTCTGATGCGTTCCACCTACTTCAGAGCTACAAAGAGCTTCTTTCCTGGAAATAACTGACTCCAAAACTTTAAGCTGATTTCCTTAGCTTTTCTATCTTAGAGAGGGGAAACACTCCCAGCTTTGGGCCAGACGTGCCCTCTTTGGGCAATGGACAGCTATGTGGAGAGAAAGGGTCATCATGCGTTTCTTGCCTCCAGGCTGCTCACAATGGCCAGAGCCTCCTGAATCACTCCCTTTGCATAAATACATCCTGTAGGACACTTGCAGGCTTAGAGCCTACCATTCTGGGTGTGGAGAAGCAAGGCAAATCAGGAAATCTCTCCTGTTTGAAGGTGCTTTAACTCTTTCTCAAAACTAGGTTGTCAGTTATTTTTTAATTAAAAATTTTTTTTAATTACTATTTTTTTTTTGAGGAAAATTAGCCCTGAGCTAATATCCATGCCCATCTTCCTCTATTTTATATGTGGGATGCCTGCCACAGCATGGGTTGATAAGTGGTGAGTAGGTCTGTGCTGTGGACGGACTGGATCGAACCCTGCGCTGCTGAAGAGGAGCAGAGAACTTAATGTCTTGGCCACATGGCCGGCCCAAGTTTCTCAGGTTCATTCCTACTATGGGATCGTGTTACTTGACTTTATAACTAGAGGAAAATTTTCAATGTCACTTTGAATAATGACTCCACTTGTATCCCTTCCACCTTAACTCAGTAGTAAGAAAGAACAGACACAGAGGAATTTCAGAGAATAAAATTGTCACCAACAGACAGCCTGTGGAGTATCTATTTGGGTATAAAGGAGAAGTATTAAGGTAATCCAATACTGTAGTTCAGGAAGTTAATCAGGAAGCATGTGTGAACTGCTCAGGTCGCAGGGAGGGGCTTCAATTTAGCCTGGATCTCTCAAATCTCTGCCTCTGGTTACAGACTCACTCTTTTTTTTTTTTTTTTTTTGAGGAAGATTAGCCCTGAGCCCTTTTCTTGCTGAGGAAGACTGGCCTTGAGCTAATATCCGTGCCCATCTTCCTCTATTTTATATGTGGGAGCCTACCACAGCATGACTTTACCAAGCAGTGCCATGTCCACACCAGGGATGTGAACCAGTGAACCATGGAGCCGCCCAAGCAGAACGTGGGAACTTAAGGGCTGCGCCACCAGACCCGCCCAGACTCAATCTTTAGATTGCTTCTCTCCAATTCATGGGTTAAAGGGCTCTAATTTACATGTTAAACGATTTTTGGTTTTTGCCTTTCTTTCCTACTCCACTGCTTGTGGGGGACCATTTAGGAGCAGGACAACATGGACATTTTTTTTATTCACTTTTCAAATATTGTGACTCTTTCCACTCTGGTTGTTGGTTATTATTTTTACTATAACTTTACCCTTTTTTGGTTGTTTTTCATTATATTTTCGGGGTGCAAAAGTTCTACGATTTGGTTTCATACTGTCACCTTACCCTGACAATCTCTATAGCCATATCCTGTTTCATATCCCAGAGTTATTAACTGTTAAATATTAGAAAGTGTCAGAGGACCAAGCGGCAGCCTGGAGGGCTGGGTGAGGGGGAGTAAGTGCTTCTCCCCTGCTGTCCCCGCCGCCTCGTGTCCAGCAGCTGAGCGCGACGTTACACCCCAAGGCGCCTCTGGTCTAATTGAGAAGGGGCGCGCGGTGCCTACGGATGGGCTGTGAGGGATCATGGCGCAGCACCAGCTCTCCCGAGGGTTTCCGGTGTCAGGAGCGAGTGTGAACGTGGCCATGCCTCCACTCTGCCTGCCAGCAGATTCCTGCGCTGCAGCCATCAGTGCCCCCGACTTCCAGCGTCCGGCACTGAAACACAGTAAAGACGAGGAGCCCCGCCCACGTATGTACGCCCAAGGACCTAGGAAAGAACCCGGGAGCTCATCTGTGCCTCTCTTTAGGCCGTTCCACGTCTCATTCCACTAGGAGGCTGTACCAGACGCAGGACTCTTGCTCAAAAAATCTAAGCAGACGCATATCTAGAAACGTGAAGACGTTTAAAGTCAGCAACAGCTTGAGAACTTGGAAGGAGAACAGAGATGTGTAAAGCATCCACTGGAACAGTGGCAGGTCCTCAGAAGGTGGAACAATACAAATAGGCAGCAGTGAGTCAACTGTTTCTCCAGATCCTTCTGATTCAGAGGATGAGAAGATTGAAGTTGATGCTGAGAGCACAGAGTTCCCCTACGGCGACACGGCCAATTAGCAGTGTCCCCAGCATGGGTGACACTGATAACACAGCAGCCTGCAGAGTATTAGAAAGGACGAGGGTTACCCTAGTGCCAGCTGCACACTTCCATTTCAAGTGGCAGAAAAATCTACTCCCTTATACCTATTTAAAAGGGATTCTGTCTACTTTTCCTTAGAACTTGAAGTCAGTGAGTTCAATTGATTCATACCACACCCTGTTGCTATGCAAAACAATAGACACCAATCCTTTGGTCCTGAAGTGGAAGTCAGGGTTCTTTGTCTTCTCACTCTCCTTGCTCTACTGATTTCACGCTGTGGCTGCTTGTGGGTTCATAAATCTCATGTCCACTTCTATCCTTCACTTCTTTTAACAGATTACTTCCAGGAAAGTCATTCTCTTAAATCTCCTTAAGGTTTTGGATCTTTGGTACCTTCAGGATAATCCACCCCTCCAGATTTATATTTCTCTACAAACAGTTGTATAAACAAATATAATCCAAATAGGGTCATTGAGAAGATTAAGATTTTAGAACAGTGGCTGGTCCATGGTTAGCATGCAATAAATTTCAGTGTTATCTTTTTTAAATATCATTATTATCCAGATTTAGAGCAGAATCTTTTAGCACCATCCAATTTCCTTTCTCATAATTCTAGATTTCTAGAGGCAATCTTTCCATTGTCCGAGTGGTTGATCAACTAGGTGGAGAGCTCAAGCAAGGGCTGATACCTCCTATCCTGCCAGACAGAGTTAGTGTTCTAGCAACTGAGGGTCTGGTTGCCAGTCTCTGTGAGCTGGTTGGTGAGACTTCCTTCTCTCCTCAGAGCTGATCACAAGTGGATTAAATGAAACAAACATCAGATGGCTGGGCTTGCAAAGCTGAAGGCAGGCCATTGACCCAGGAGTTGGTCTTTGAGCTTCTGGCAGAAGCGGCTATTGTCCTGCCTTTGTGTTGTTCAACATTGGCCCTCGTTCTTCCCCTCCGCCACACCCTGCTCCCCAACTTTGCTGCACTGAATTTTGCTAACTTAGAATATGTCATTTCATCAGCAGAAAAGTCACTTCTCTTTTTTCACTTTCATGACATTCAGAATTACGTTTGTTTAATTTTTTCCCACAAAGAACTGTCAAGTTTTGCTTTCTAGGAAAGTTGAAATGAGAAACAAAAAGTCTGAAGTCTTGAAAATCGTAGAGAAAAATAGCCCAGGCCCTTTGCCGTTCTTTCACTTCTCTTGTTCATGTTAACCTCGGGATGAAACAGAAAGAAATACAGCAGCAGGACGACAGACTGCCCAGGAAAGCACTATGTAAAAAATAAGTTATTGAAATAATTTTTGTTGTTTTCAAAATTTAAAATGAAATATCATGCATAAGTAAAGTAAAGAAGGCGTTTCTCTCTGACATAACAGTCTGGGCCTTACTGCCCTGCATTCTGAGCATGAGACAGAAATGGATGAGCAAAGAAGCCCAACAGTTGAATGAACAACAGACGATCACTAGCTTCCATAATGTAAGTTTCTACTCGAAGATGTCATCCTTCAATCCCCTGTGCCCAGCTCAGACATTTTGAGCATAACAAGTGTTCAATAGTTTAAGTAAAAAAGTTGAACAATAAAAGCTATAATTGGCAAAATAAAAATTATTTGCCTACTAAAGGTGAAATGATGACAATTTGGTAATTCCGCCACCTCCTTAGAGAAAACGAACTTTTACTCTCAGCACCTGAGGGCTGTTGACTCTTTTGATACCTGGGGCCTTCAGGTCAGGAGAAGAGGAGGTCACCACTGAGAATTCGGGTCCTTCACACACTCTAGGAGCCAGGGCCAGGGTCCTGGAAGATTGATTGTTCCACGAACAAAGAAACAAACCCCTCCTCAGTAGGGGAATTCTAAAGTCCTCAGGATGTGGTGAGCCTGTCCCCAGGGAGTGAGTCCAGGAGAGTTTGGGTTGAAGACACTGTCACTCCAGAGGAGAAGTGTTACTAGATGTGATAAATACCTTTTCAGTGAGGTGGTACTGAGAAAATACAATTACCTTGGAATTAGAATCTCCACACCTACATGCACCAGAAAAGGACCAGGATTCCTGCTGGGGGTATTGGCACAGCCTGAGGAGCACTACAGACTGGTTACAAAATGGCGGAAAGAAAGGGCAATATCTGTATCAGTCCGGACTTTGTGGACCCAGTGAAGTATAACCACGTGGACCTGCATGAATGTATTCTAGAAAGAAGAGAAACATTGGAGAAGCTCATTCACTTGTAATCATCAGGCACAGCTGTGAATAAAACAGTAAATAAAACTCGGTCATTTGTTCTAAAGAGCTTGTTTACCATATGTAGTCTGGTAAGTACCTAACAAAATGCAGAAACCTCTAGGGCTGAGGGAGACACTCTCCATATGTAAAGTAAGGAGGGTAAAATCATAGTCCAAAATCAAGGCCCAATATTGTCCTTAACACAGAGAAGAGCAATTTTGTATATTAAAAAATGCACGTGAGTATGTGTGTGTATGAGTGTTTACATATCTGCATACACTTCAGGCTTTAGGACAAAGAACTTTCTCATTTGATTAATGAGTATCCATTTGGATTGGCACATCTGAAGTTTACTGGGAAAATTAAACTTCTGTTGCAAAACTAACAGTTTAGATTGATGACGTCTTCTTAGACCACATGGAGAATACATAAATGAAAACAAAAAAAGGAAATAAAAGTGTAGAGAAATGTTTAGAAAGTGAAAATTACAGTGTTCCCTATTTAATGGCCATGCTTGGAAAGAATGTCATCAGAGAACCTCGGGTCCAAGGTTCAGAGACACCCAGCTCAGCCAGGCCAGCAGCACCCTCGTTTTCCCCATGGCCCTCCTGCCCTCTCTCTTGACGGCCCTGGTGGTGATCAGTTATGGCCCTGGTGGAGCTCTGGGCTGTGACCTGCCTCACAGCCACATCCTGGTTAGCAGGAAGAACTTCGTGCTTCTGGGCCAAATGAGGAGAATCTCCTCCGCAATCTGTCTGAAGGACAGAAAAGACTTCAGGTTCCCCCAGGACATGGCGGATGGCAGGCAGTTCCCAGAGGCCCAGGCCACGTCTGTCCTCCACGAGATGCTCCAGCAGATCTTCAGCCTCTTCCACACAGAGCGCTCCTCTGCTGCCTGGAACACGACCCTCCTGGACGAACTCTGCACGGGACTCCTTCGGCAGCTGGAAGACCTGGACACCTGTTTGGAGCAGGAGATGGGAGAGGAAGAATCTGCCCTGGGAACTGTGCGCCCTACACTGGCCCTGAAGAGGTACTTCCGGGGGATCCATCTCTACCTGAAAGAGAAGAAATACAGTGACTGTGCCTGGGAGATTGTCCGAATGGAAATCATGAGATCCTTCTCTTCATCAACAAACCTGCAGGGAAGGTTAGGAATGAAGGATGGAGACCTGGAGTCACCTTGAAATGATTCTTCTTGACTACTGTGCCGTGTCACCCTTGCACCTGTCTTTGGTCATTTCGAAAGTCTATTTCTGCTTTAGTCACAGAACTTATTGAGTTAATTCAGCTAATACTTTGTCAGTTATATTAAGCAAGAATATTTTTAAAATATTTAGCTCCAGGGTCCCTAAGAGATGACTCCTTTGGTATTATTTATTTATTTATTTATTTATTTAATTTCCATTCCTTCTTACATCTATGATATTTATAATATTTAGAAATTATATATATAATTACGTGTTCATCTTTACATTGTATTAAATTTTGCAAAATATATTTACCTTTCCATGTTATTAAATCTGCATTTTGTTTTATTTATTAAATTCTTATTAAAGAAAACTTCTTCAATTTGTTTATTTTAAAATAAAAAGTCCAAACCATCATTTTGTACACAATATGGAGGCATAGAGGGTGAAATTTATTTACTCATGCATTCCATTCATATTATACATATAAATTGAGTATCTAAATGACAAATTGTCTAATTGCTGGCAAGAAATATAGGTGAATAAAGCAAATACACGTCCCGCTATGTCAAACTCTTGAGTCTTACAGTGAAGGAGACATAAAAACATCCTAATGTTTATTTTATTTCAATTAAATTAAAAACTGCAAAGAGAAGTACAGGAAAATGATGTTCTCACACCAGAAGTTTTAGGTACAAATGATGCTGGAAAGGAAAAACAATATTAGATGTCCTCTCCAAGGTGCCTGGGAGATATATAAGTGCAGAGGCCTTATCAGCAGTTGGGAATATGGGTCTAGAATTTACAAAAATGCCATGGGTGCAGGTACTAATTTGGGATTCCTTACTGTGTATCTGGGCAGGAGGGCATGGGATGGATGTGTCACCTATAATAGAGTGGACGATGAGGAGAGGACCTAAACTTAGTCCTGCAGACCCTCAACAGTTAAAGGTTGGGCAGAGGAGAGTCTGCAATGAGCCCTGAGGCTGAGTGGCCAGTGGAGTTAGGACACATGGAGACGGATAGCAGGGAGACTACTGAAGGGAAGAGTGTGTTTAAAAGACAGAGTGGTGCTTGCAGGGCAGGTGTGGACTGAAGTGTCCCAGTAGACCTGAAAACAGATGCCACTGGGGACCTGAGCAGGATCTGGGTTAGCAGAAATAATGGGACAGAAACCAGATGGGAGTAGGTTGAAAAAGAAACACAAGAACGAGAAGTAGGGATACTGTGCAGAGAAAATTATCTTTGTAAGTGTGCTTGTGAAGTGGAAGAGAGAAAGAAGGTGGTCCCTGGAGGAGATTGTGGGTTAACATGCCCATGCGTATTTTTTCTTCGTGTTTTCTGAGAATCATTTTCAAAGAATGGATGAATTGGCACAAAATGTATGAATATTTTTAATATTTGACTTATTTGATTTCTATTACTTATTTAGATATTTCACATAATATATTGCTTATTTGGCTAAAAAGTAATTTATCATTGTTCTAATTAATATCACTTTGTAGTGATTTCAGTGTTAACATATTTGCTTGCTCATTTCAGTTATCTTTTCAATCAAGTTTCATTTTCTTGTATCAGTTACTTCATTTACTCTAGTTTTATGTAGGTCATTTAAATTATTTATTTATAATTTTATAATTTCTAATCATTGACGTAAACGTTTTCTATAAATTATAGCCATATTCTTTTGATGGACACTTGTTTTTAATTTCCCCTGTGTACGAAGAGCTGGACAGTTCCTTGCCTATTTCTCCAGGAGCTGTTGAGGACAGAGAACCAAGCCTCCTCCTAGTACATTCCTTTTTTGATTTTATACATATTCAGTTCCCTTTCTTGTTAACCTGTTTTTACATTAAATTCAATATTCCATTAGCAGATTTTTTCTAATCTATGATATGAGGTGAGAATCTAAATTGCTTTCTGTTAGAGTGCCAGAGAATTTTCCCAGAATATTTTATTGAAATGTTATTTCTTTCCTTATAACAAAGGATACATCTATACCAGAAATCTAATTAATTCTGATAATACAGCTATTTTTGAGATGATTTTCTTTATCTATATGATCACTGCATTTACTCGTGGCTACACTCATGTTACTATGGATACTTTAAAACTCATTTAATGCTTCTGATTGAGGTGGTTTAGGTAAAGAAGTCCTTTCTATTTTTTTAATATTATTGCTTGCATTACTTCCTGATTAACTTTAGAATTGTTCTAAGGACAAGAGCATTGGCTTCATGAAAAGCATAAACATTTGTGAATACCCAGATGACTAATTATACCAAGGAATGAGCCCTCCAATAAAAATGAATGAAAGAAATTGGATCAGAGAATCTTTTTCCCAAAACTGAAGGCAAAGAACAATTATTAAGTAATATGTAGGAAAAATTACAATACTAGCCACAAAAAAAAAAAAAAGACCAGGGAGCAAGAGAGTTTAGTGATTGCATAAATTCAAATTTAAGAAATGTTGACAGAAATCGGTAATATAAAACTTAGGGAATCCTCCATAACTCACAATATAGTATTTGGTATTGACCCACCCATTCTGCCCTTTGGTGTACATACATATGCATAATTTTACTTTCCATTCATTTTGTTGTATTTAATGTGAAAAACTTCTCCTAGCTAGCTCTGTACTGTCACCTTGCCCTGAAAATCTCCGTAGTCATATCCTGTTTAATACCCAGAAGTTATTAACTTGCATGTTCCAAAGTATTGGAGAACCAAGAAGCAGTGGGGCAATGCATAGCTGGGGATGAATGAGCTTCTGCCCCGCTGAGCTGCCAGCTCACCCTGCACAGGTCCTGTCCAGGCTCTGAACTGCAGCTGCCCAAGATATGCGGTCAGCTGGAGAAGAGGACGAGGGGAGATAGGGTCATGGCTGTGGTGGCCATGAGCTTCTGCAGGAGATCACGGTGCAGTGTTAGTGGGAGGCAGCTGAGTTTTGTTGGGCTGCAGGAGCGTGAGTGGGAACATAGCCACACCTCTACCCTCCCCACCTGCCACACCCTCCTCTGCAGAGGTCAGGGTGCCACTGATGTCCAGTCAGGCACAGAAACTCAGTAAACAGAGGGAGCTGCAGCACCGATACGGCCCACATGTCTGTACCAAACAAGCTAGTAAAGAATCCCGTGGCTCATAGCACCTATGTTTAGGTGCTTATGAGTTCTGATTCCACTAGGAGGAGACTGCACCTGTCACATGATGCCCAATGCTCAATAAACAAAGCATCAAGAACTATGAGAAAGTTGTAAGAGCCAGCAGCAGCTCAAGAATTTGAAATGTAAGAGACTTGGCAAATTCTGGTATATCCAGCTCTTGAATGCAGATTAAATAGGAGATGTCAAGTTGGTTACGTTTAAGTTACAAATGTGTTGTTTGGCCAAGTTGGAGGTCTGCTGGTCTGTCCTGTGGAGGATCATGGTAAGCTGCTATATTTATGGTTCTCTGCCTCCAGCTACATTTTAAGGTGAGTTGCAGGATGGCTGATTGGAGGAGGCAGCTGGAACCTGAGATCAGAAATTCAATGAAGGTAGAAAATAAACACTTCATATAATGCAAAATGTATACACCACCCAAATTCAGTTTTTAGAAAACGCTGCTGGTCAAACATAGAAGGAAACATCCTCAGGATGATGAGACTAATTTGTAACAGGTATAAGGAAAGTGATGACCAAATCAACTGCACTGAAAAATGTCTGTCTCAAGGGAATGTCGCCTGCTATGACTGGGACAAATGGGAATTGGAGAGAAAGAACTTATTGTTTCTTTATGTAATACTGTCCTGGAGAAAGGATGCTCAGATTCTCAGCAATATCTCTGATTCTTGTGGACAGTGATATTCCCAGAATTGGTAAAAAGCTCAGAGTGTGGAGTCAGAGAACCAGAATTCCAAAATGAGGCCCAGAACTTCAGAAAATTATTTAATCTCCCTGTGGCCCTGTTTTCTTCTCTATTCCAGGAGGATAATGAAAGAACCAACATCAGCCTGGTTTGTTAACAGATATAAAGATCAGAGAAACTCGAGAGTCAAAGACCATAAAGGAATAGAGCAACACATTTTAAGATATTAATTTTAAAAAGTCTGCCAAGCATCATAAAAAATTTAAATCTCATGAGATTGAAAAATTTTATAACGTATAATAGAGTATTAACATTTTCAATATAGAAAAGGCTCAAGAAAAGTTTAAGAATGCCATAAAAATCTGAGCAAAAGAATATAAAGAGGCAATTTACAGAAGCAGAAATAACTGAGAGGATAATATACATATGCCAAATCATCAGCCTGTCTAGTGATTGTGGATTTTTAAAATAAATGAAATTTCAAATGAAAAATCTGATAAACAACAGCAACAAAAAGATTGCTTAGTGATGGGTAGGGTACAAATGCATCCTCATGCAGAGTTGGTAGAGGCACAAAATTTTCAAACATTATTGGTGCTTAGTTTTGTAGCATCTATCTAAATCACCAGACCCAGCAAACATAGTAGAGGTGTTTATCTTACAGAAATACTAAGTGAATGCTCAAATTGTTTCATTGTGAAGCATTATTTATATGAAAAGTAATTGAAGTCAACTTAATATGCCATTACAGGTGAATAGTTAAGTAAACTATGATTCCTTCACATTATATTGTGCAGGCACATTAAATTAAACGAGGTAGATCAATGCTCACCAGCAGCCAAGGGTGTTCCTGACATTATCAGTGTTTTCTTGAGTGAAAAAGCAAGTTAACGAATAAGAATGATCACATTGGTGAAACTGATATCCAATTATTCCTAAAGATTAGGATTTGAGGAAATAAAGAATAGAAATGGGATTATTTGATGTCTTGTTTTCTGGAACCTAAATATCTCTTTATTTACTTCTAAGAATTAGCTATGTATTTAAAATTGATTTTTTACGTTGTTTCCAACATTTCTATTAGATTGAAGCAAAGGATGTTCATCTTAGCTCAGTGGCCCACATGTTGAAAGTGGAAATGGGCACTGTCTTTGTACCACGAGGAGAAGATGTGGGGGGAAATGGTTTACTGGATTCTTTAAA